TTCTATTACGGAAATCCTGTGTTGTTAGTTTGTTCTTCAGCAGTCGACATCTATCACGGAAACCCTGTGTTGTTAGGTTGTCTGTCAACAGTCGACATCTATCACGGAAACCCGGTGTTGTTAGTTTATCTGTCAACAGACTATCACGGAAACCCTGTATTGTTAGTTTGTCTGTCCGCAGTCTATTGCGGAAAACCTGTGTTGTTAGTTTGTCTGTCAACAGTCGACATCTATCACGGAAACCCTGTGTTGTTAGTTTTTCTGTCAACACTCTATCACTGAAACCCTGTGTTGTTAGTTTATTCTTTAGCAGTCGACATCTATCACGGAAACCCTGCGTTGTTAGTTTGTTCTTCAGCAGTCGACAACTACTGTATCCGGCAAAAGAAAATTAAATATAAAAGGTGTTGTCCTTTGTAAATAACAGCTGCATGGTGGTTGTGAATTATGTTTAAAAATTAAAAAGCACACTACTCCTTGAGCACATTTGAAACCTTGTAGCTGGAATGAAGTGGTTCATCACGTACAAACACTAATGCTTTTTTAAACCGTTCTAAATCTTTACGACTGACACCATTTATACATTATATGAATTAATGTTTGTATAACCCTTTCTACATAGGTTCGACCGATTCTTTTAGGTTTCAGCTTTATGACATCTGACATGAAAGTTATTCATAAAACAATTTAGTTATGCACTATGAACAACGAAAATACCTTGATAGAATTGCCTTCTATTCAGGGAAGAAGTTTCCCACTTGAACACGTGAATCATCCTACTTTGTCGTTTTGTGTCGTTACAGCTTAGCACCGTAGAAGGCGAAACCTCTAACCAATGTGCCGGGAGATTCCGACTGGAGTCTGGGGAGAGAGACGGAGAAGATGTAAGTCTGTTATATTTGTAATTAATTGCAAAAGTAACGTAGATGGATAGTTGGTATAAACTCGAAACAAAAACAACAACAAACAAATACCACAAATCAGTACTCGTACCCGATCACACTAGAAAAATTCACGTAAATTAGGACAAAACACTAACATATATTGCAATGTTCACTGACAAAGACGAATGAGAACTCCTCTCCGACAAATATAAGTTACGGAGACAACAAACCCACAGGAAAAATTAATAATCACGGACATTTTAAGATGAAGCTAAACGATGCACGTGCTCCGGAAAAGTTAGGTTTCGTGCTCCGCATACGACTCCTGTCTTATATCTAAATCCAGGAAAGTATGAAAATAATCAATAAGACCCAATGAAAAAGTATTCAATAAAGAAATAAAATATTAAAACGTCTTAAATAAGATAACAAAATAGTAAAAAGTCTCTAATCAGATAACAAAATAGGAAAAAGTCTCTTATCAGATTACAAAATAGTAAAAAGTCTTTATTAAGATTATTAAAAAGTAAAAAGTCTTTTCCAAAATAATGAAATAGTAAAAAGTCTTTATTAAGATTATTAAAAAGAAAAAATCTTTTCCAAGATAATGAAATAGTAAAAAGTCTTTACCAAGATAACAAAATAGTAAAAAGGCTTTCCCGAGACAACAAAATAGTAAAAAGTCTTTCCCGAGATAACAAAATAGTAAAAAGACTCTTATCAGGTAACAAAATAGTAAAAAGTCTTTATTAAGATTATTAAAAAGTAATAAGGCTTTTCCAAGATAATGAAATAGTAAAAAGTCTTTATTAAGATTATTAAAAAGAAAAAATGTTTTCTAAGATAATGAAAAAGTAAAAAGTCTTTCCCGAGATAACAAAATAGTAAAAAGTCTTTCCCGAGATAGCAAAATAGTTAAAAGTCGTTCCCGAGATAACAAAATAGTAAAATGTCTTTCCCGAGATAACAAAATAGTAAAATGTCTTTATTAAGACTATTAAAAAGTAAAAAGTCTTTTCCAAGATAATGAAATAGTAAAAAGTCTTTACCAAGATAACAAAATAGTAAAAAGGCTTTCCCGAGACAACAAAATAGTAAAAAGTCTTTCCCGAGATAACAAAATAGTAAAAAGTTTTTATTAAGATTATTAAATAGTAAAAAGTCTTTTCCAAGATAATGAAATAGTAAAAAGTCTTTCCCGAGATAACAAAATAGTAAAAAGTCTTTCCCGAGATAACAAAATAGTAAAAAGTCTTTCCCGAGATAACAAAATAGTAAAAAGTCTTTCCCGAGATAACAAAAAACATAAAAAGTCTTTCCCGAGATAACAAAATAGTAAAAAGTATTTATTAAAATTATTAAAAAGTAAAAAGTCTTTTCCAAGAAAATGAAATAGTAAAAAGTCTTTACCGAGATAACAAAATACTAAAAAGTCTTTCCCGAGATAACAAAATAGTAAAAAATCTTTCCCGAGATAACAAAATAGTAAAAAGTCTTTCCCGAGATAACAAAATAGTAAAACGTCTTTATTAAGATTATTAAAAAGTAAAAAGTCTTTTACAAAATAATGAAATAGTCAAAAGTCTTTACCAAGATAACAAAATAGTAAAAAGTCTTTCCCGAGACAACAAAATAGTAAAAAGTCTTACCCGAGATAACAAAATAGTAAAAAATCTTTATTAAGATTAGTAAAATGTAAAAAGTCTTTTCCAAGAAAATGAAATAGTAAAAAGTCTTTCACGAGATAACAAAACAGTAAAAAGTCTTAAATGGATAACAAAATAGTAAAAAGTCTTTCCCGAGATAACAAAATAGTAAAACGTCTTGATTAAGATTATTAAAAAGTAAAAAGTCTTTCCCGAAATAACAAAATAGTAAAAAGTCTTAAATAGATAACAAAATAGTAAAAAGTCTTCACTAAGATAACAAACAGTAAAAAAGTCTTTACTTAGATAACAAAATAGTAAAAATTCTTTATTAAGATTACAAAATAGTAAAAAAGTCTTTACTAAGATTACAAAATAGTAAAAAGTCTTTACTAAGATAATGAAACAGTAAAACGTCTTTACCAAGATAACAAAATAATAAAGAGTCTTCACTAAGATAACAAATAGTAAAAAGTCTTTGCTAAGATAACAAAATAGTAAAAAGTCTTTACTAAGATAATGAAACAGTAAAACGTCTTTACCAAGATAACAAAATAATAAAAAGTCTTCACTAAGATAACAAATAGTAAAAAGTCTTTACTGAGATAACAAAATAGTAAGCTCTTTACTAATATAATAAAAAATATAACCAATCATCATCTTTGCTTGTTTATTAAAGAAATTTGCTTCTAGTCCTGAACTTGTCGAAACAGAAATGAAGAATTGTATCAAATCCTAACTTAGACATTGTTTTGAATATTGTAACATTGTCATTGCATATAGGAAGGATATGATGTCATCCTGACCTTGATATTGTGTAGGATATAATCAAATCGTAGCGTTATCGCTGTGAAGATATTCACGAACCTGAGTTCATGATTAAAGAATCTAGGAAATAAATTCCTCGATAATAATTATTGTCGCCTGACTACCAAATCTGACGACTAAATTTCATGATTCTAAATATTTCCTGCTCTGAAATGTTATTCCAGTTTTTTTTTCCGTAATGCTGTTTACATGTCAGTATAAAGTCACTGTTCTAGATTTCGTTCAGAATAACCACATTATCGATGTGCCATTTCAACCTACAAATAGGCTCTCCAGGTGAGATAGAGGCTACGACTTTGGCTGGACAAAGACTACTGTTATCATCACTACTCAGTGTCACCTTTGACATTTCGGTATTTTGCCATGGATATAAACATATACACTATGGTCAACGACATAGTAAATTGCAGCTTTTGATCTATTTTTACGAGCAGAATAATATTTTCAAAATCAATATGTATTAATTGTGTTTATATATGTATATACCATTTAATAACAATCGTTTTGTTATTTTAGGCAGTATCAAGTCCACTCAACAGCCCGATTCATTTGGAGAACCCTGAGTTTCAAACTCGATGGTACTTTAAATATTTACTTGGAAAACGTAAGTGTATAAAGTAAACTACTTAAAATAGCGTTAGAAAAATGTAAAACATCATGTCACCCTCATGCGTTTAAGTTTCCCCGATCATATTTCCCTTANAACCTGGAGACTGTTAAATCAGATCACGGCATTCGACAGGGATGTCCAGAACCTAGAGACTGTTAGATCATATCGAGGTATTCGACAGGGATGTCCAGAACCTAGAGACTGTAAGATCAGATCGAGGTATTCGACAGGGATGTCCAGAACCTAGACACTGTTAGATCAGATCACGGTAATCGATAGGGATGTCCAGAACCTAGAGACTGTTAGATCAGATCACGGTACTCGACAGGGATGTCCAGAACCTAGAGACTGTTAGATCAGATCAAGGTATTCGACTGGGATGTCCAGAACCTAGAGACTGTTAGATCAAATCACGGTATTCGACAGATATGTCCAGAACCTAGGGACTGTTAGATCAGATCGAGATATTCGACAGGGATGTTCAGAACCTAGAGACTCTTAGATCAGATCACGGTATTCGACAGGGATGTCAAGAACCTAGAGACTGTTAGATCAGATTGAGGTATTCCACAGGGATGTCCAGAACCTAGAGACTGTTAGATCAGATCACGGTATTCGACAGGGATGGCAAGAACCTAGAGACTGTTAGATCAGATTGAGGTATTCCACAGGGATGTCCAGAACCTAGAGACTGTTAGATCCGATCACGGTATTCGACAGGGATGCTGGAACCTAGCGACTGTTAGATCAGATCACGGTATTCGACAGGGATGTCCAGAACCTAGAGACTGTTAGATCCGATCACGGTATTCGACAGGGATGTCCAGAACCTAGAGACGGCTAGATCAGATCACGGTATTCGACAAGGATGTCCAGAACCTAGAGACTGTTAGATCATATCACGGTATTCGACAGGGATGTCCAGAACCTAGAGACTGTTAGATCAGATCGAGGTATTCGACAGGGGTGTTCAGAACCTAAAGACTGTTAGATCAGATCACGGTATTCGACAGGGATGTCCAGATTCTGGAGACTGTTAGATCATATCACGGTATACGACAGGGATGTCCATAACCTAGAGACTGTTAGATCAGATCACGGCATTCGACAGGGATGTCCAGAACCTAGAGTCTGTTAGATCAAATCACGGAATTCGACAGGGATGTCCAGAACCTAGAGACTGTTAGATCCGATCACGGTATTCGACAGGGATGTCCAGAACCTAGAGACTGCTGGATGTCCAGAACCTAGAGACTGTTAGATCAGATCACGGTATTCGACAGGGATGTCCAGAACCTAGAGTCTGTTAGATCAAATCACGGTATTCGACAGGGATGTCCAGAACCTAGAGACGGTTAGATCAGATCACGGTATTCGACAGGGATGTCCACAACCTAGAGTCTGTTAGAACAAATCACGGTATTCTACAGGGATGCCGGAACCTAGAGACTGTAAGATCAGATACTGTAAGATCAGATACTGTAAGATCAGATACTGTAAGATCAGATACTGTAAGATCAGATCCAGGTATTCGACAGGGAGAACCTAGAGACTGCTGGATGTCCAGAACCTATAGACTGTAAGATCAGATACTGTAAGATCAGATACTGTAAGATCAGATCCAGGTATTCGACAGGGGTATTCGACAGATATGTCCAGAACCTAGATACGGTTAGATCAGATCACGGCTTTCGACAGGGATGTCGAGAACCTAGAGACTGCTGGATGTCCAGAACCTAGGGACTGTTAGATCAGAGCAGACCCTAGATACTTTTAGATCAGAACACGGTATTCGACAGGGGTATTCGACAGATATGTCCAGAACCTAGATACTTTTAGATCAGAACACGGTATTCGACAGGAATGTCCAAAACCTAGATACTGTAAGATCAGATACTGTAAGATCAGATACTGTAAGATCAGATACTGTAAGATCAGATACTGTAAGATCAGATACTGTAAGATCAGATCGAGGTATGCGACAGGGATGTCCTGAACCTAGAGACTGTTAAATCAGATCGAGGTATTCGACAAGGATGTCCAGAACCTATTGACTGTTAGATCAGAGACTGTTAGATCGGATCACGGTATTCGACGGGGATTTCCGGAACCTGGAGACTGTTAGAGCAGATCACGGTTTTCGACAGGTATGTTCAGAACCTAGAGACTTTTAGATCAGATCACGGCATTCGACAGGGGTGTCCAGAACCTTCCAGAACCTAGAGACTGTAAGATCAGATCGTTGTATTCGACAGGGATGGCCAGAACCTAGAGGCTGTTAGATCAAATCAAGGTATTCGACAGGGGTATTCGACAGATATGTCCAGAACCTAGGGAAGGGATGTCAAGAACCTAGCGACTGTTAGATCAGAACACGGTATTCGACAGGAATGTCCAAAACCTAGATACTGTAAGATCAGATCTAGGTATTCGACAGGGATGAGAGACTGTTAGATCGGATCACGGTATTCGACTGGGATGTCCAGAACCGAGAGACTTTTAGATCAGATCACAGGTATTCGATAGGGATGTCCAGAACATAGAGTCTGTTAGATCTAAACACGGTATTCGACAGGAATGTCCAAAACCTAGATACTGTAAGATCAGATACTGTAAGATCAGATCTAGGTATTCGACAGGGAGAACCTAGAGACTGCTGGATGTCCAGAACCTAGGGAAGGGATGTCAAGAACCTAGCGACTGTTAGATCAGAGACTGTTAGATCCGATCACGGTATTCGACGGGGATTTCCGGAACCTGGAGACTGTTAGAACAGATCACGGTTTTCGACAGGTATGTCCAGAACCTATAGACTGTGAGATCAGATCACGGTTTGCGACAGGGATGTCCTGAACCTAGAGACTGTAAGATCAGATACTGTAAGATCAGATACTGTAAGATCAGATACTGTAAGATCAGATCGTTGTATTCGACAGGGATACAGGGATGTCCAGAATCTAGAGACTGTTAGAACAGATCACGGTTTTCGACAGGTATGTTCAGAACCTAGAGACTATAAGATCAGATCACGGTATGCGACAGGGATTTCCATAACCTAGAGACTGTAAGATCAGATACTGTAAGATCAGATACTGTAAGATCAGATCTAGGTATTCGACAGGGGTGTTCAGAACCTAAAGACTGTTAGATCAGAGACTGTTAGATCAGCTAGAGACTGTTAGAGCAGATCAGAACCTAGAGGCTTTTAGATCAGATCACAGGTATTCGATAGGGATGTCCAGAACATAGAGTCTGTTAGATCAAATCAAGGTATTCGACAGGGATGAGAGACTGTTAGATCAGATCACGGTATTCGACAGGGATGTCCTGAACCTAGAGACTGTTAAATCAGATCGAGGTATTCGACAGGGATGTCCAGAACCTAGAGACTGTTAGATCATATCACGGTATTCGACAGGGATGTCCAGAACCTAGAGACTGCTAGATCAGATCACGGTTTTCGACAGGGATGTCGAGAACCTAGAGACTGTTAGATCAGATCGAGGGATTCGACAGGGATGTCCAGAACCTAGAGACTGTTAGATCATATCACGGTATTCGACAGGGATGTCCAGAACCTATTGACTGTTAGATCAGATCAGAAACTAGAGACTTTTAGATTAGATCACGGTATTCGACAGGGACGTCCAGGATCTGCACTTAGACTTGTTTTAGTTGACGTAGTGATTGAATTGAAAATTAAACATATTTGATAAACAAACGGAATCATCACGACTTAAACACTACATTCCTCACTTCGGTTATCTACATTATTGTTTATTGATTTGCATTCAATTACTAGTATATTGATTATATGTATTATACAGATGTACAGATTAAATGTATGGATACACGTTTGAATGGGAAAAACTGATCAAATGAACAACAGCACGTTCTTTTTGCTAAGATGACCGTAACAGAGGTCGCACAAACTACATACATATTTGTAGAGACAGCAAAAATGGCTCATAATGTAATATACACCTTAATTTTACCCAAAATTGGATACCTGAATTTCACCAATAACTAGCAAGTTTACGGCGGCCTTCTTGTCTAATTGAAAAACATAATTCGCACTAATGTTTGCAGTGGCATAATACACATGACAATACCATCATTATAACGCCAATCAGTACTTGTGTTTCAACCTCAATAATGTCAACCGATACTTTTCTGTAAATCACTATAATGTGATTCAATCATTTTAACGTTTATATTCAACCCTTCACACATGCTTGATTTAGTTTGTGATATCAGTTCGGCACTAACCTCTACATATTTATATTGCAGTGCACCAGAATTATGTTGGGTTGGACGCTGAAAAAGAGGCATACCTGTTGTCCGTCATCGTAACAGATGCTAACAATCACAACGTGCCTCAGTATCGGGCGGTGCTGTGGCAGAAGTCGGTAAGTTCCAGGAAGTGTTGTCGCGAATGTTGGTAAACTGAAATTCATTATGTAGTAAAGGTCAGTTTGCTTTTGTGTTCTGCACTGGCAGTCATTGACGACTATTTGGTAAGTAGTTAGTTCGGGATCAGTCTGAACCGTGCGTTGCCGAAACGTGGTCTTGCAGACGACGGGACCGTACTTTGTAAGTAGACTAAGTCGTGTTATAATGAAAGTAGGTAAGTGCCGAGACGTGGCAGAAGTCGGTAGATATTTAGGTGCTGCTGTGGCAGATGTCGGTAGTTATAAGTTCTGCTGTAGCAGAAGTCGGTAGATGTTATAGGTGCAGCTGTGACAGATGTCGGTAGTTATAGGTGCTGCTGTGACAGATGTCGGTAGTTATAGGTTCTGCTGTTGCAGATGTCAGTAGTTATAGGTGCTGCTGTGGCAGATGTTGTTAGTTATAGGTTCTGCTGTGGCAGATGTCGGTAGTTATAGGTGCTAATGTGACAGATGTCGGTAGTGATAGGTGTTGCTGTAGCAGATTTCGTTAGTTATACGTGCTGCTGTGGCATATGTCGGTAGTTTAAGGTGCTGTTGTGGCAGATGTTGGTAGTTATAGGTTCTGCTGTGACAGATGTCGGTAGTTATAGGTGCTTCTGTGACAGATGTCGGTAGTTATAGGTGCTGCTGTAGCAGATGTCGGTAGTTATAGGTGCTGCTGTGACAGATCTCGGTAGTTATAGGTGCTGCTGTGACATATGTCGGTAGTTATAGGTGCTGCAGTAGTAGATGTCGGTAGTTATAGGTTCTGCTGTGACAAATGTCGGTAGATGTTATAGGTGCTGCTGTGACAGATGTCGGTAGTTATAGGTTCTGCTGTGACAGATGTCGGTAGTTATAGGTGCTGCTGTTGCAGATGTCAGTAGTTATAGGTTCTGCTGTTGCAGATGTCAGTAGTTATAGGTGCTGCTGTGGCAGATGTTGTTAGTTAGAGGTTCTGCTGTGGCAGATGTCGGTAGTTATAGGTGCTGCTGTGGCATATGTCGGTAGTTATAGGTGCTGCTGTGACAGATGTCGGTAGTTATAGGTGTTGCTGTGGCATATGTCGGTAGTTATAGGTGCTGCTGTGGCAGATGTCGGTAGTTATAGGTGTTGCTGTGGCATATGTCGGTAGTTATAGGTGCTGCTGTGGCAGATGTCGGTAGTTATAGGTGTTGCTGTGGCATATGTCGGTAGTTATAGGTGCTGCTGTGGCAGATGTCGGTAGTTATAGGTGCTGCTGTGGCATATGTCGGTAGTTATAGGTGCTGCTGTGACAGATGTCGGTAGTTATAGGTGTTGCTGTGGCATATGTCGGTAGTTATAGGTGCTGCTGTGGCAGATGTCGGTAGTTATAGGTGTTGCTGTGGCATATGTCGGTAGTTATAGGTGCTGCTGTGGCAGATGTCGGTAGTTATAGGTGTTGCTGTGGCATATGTCGGTAGTTATAGGTGCTGCTGTGGCAGATGTCGGTAGTTATAGGTGCTGCTGTGGCATATGTCGGTAGTTATAGGTGCTGCTGTGACAGATGTCGGTAGTTATAGGTGTTGCTGTGGCATATGTCGGTAGTTATAGGTGCTGCTGTGGCAGATGTCGGTAGTTATAGGTGTTGCTGTGGCATATGTCGGTAGTTATAGGTGCTGCTGTGGCAGATGTCGGTAGTTATAGGTGTTGCTGTGGCATATGTCGGTAGTTATAGGTGCTGCTGTGGCAGATGTCGGTAGTTATAGGTGTTGCTGTGGCATATGTCGGTAGTTATAGGTGCTGCTGTGGCAGATGTCGGTAGTTATAGGTGCTGCTGTGGCATATGTCGGTAGTTATAGGTGCTGCTGTGACAGATGTCGGTAGTTATAGGTGTTGCTGTGGCATATGTCGGTAGTTATAGGTGCTGCTGTGGCAGATGTCGGTAGTTATAGGTGTTGCTGTGGCATATGTCGGTAGTTATAGGTGCTGCTGTGGCAGATGTCGGTAGTTATAGGTGTTGCTGTGGCATATGTCGGTAGTTATAGGTGCTGCTGTGGCAGATGTCGGTAGTTATAGGTGTTGCTGTGGCATATGTCGGTAGTTATAGGTGCTGCTGTGGCAGATGTCGGTAGTTATAGGTGCTGCTGTGGCATATGTCGGTAGTTATAGGTGCTGCTGTGACAGATGTCGGTAGTTATAGGTGTTGCTGTGGCATATGTCGGTAGTTATAGGTGCTGCTGTGACAGATGTCGGTAGTTATAGGTGTTGCTGTGGCATATGTCGGTAGTTATAGGTGCTGCTGTGGCAGATGTCGGTAGTTATAGGTGTTGCTGTGGCATATGTCGGTAGTTATAGGTGCTGCTGTGGCAGATGTCGGTAGTTATAGGTGCTGCTGTGGCATATGTCGGTAGTTATAGGTGCTGCTGTGACAGATGTCGGTAGTTATAGGTGTTGCTGTGGCATATGTCGGTAGTTATAGGTGCTGCTGTGGCAGATGTCGGTAGTTATAGGTGCTGCTGTGGCATATGTCGGTAGTTATAGGTGCTGCTGTGACAGATGTCGGTAGTTATAGGTACTGCTGTGACAGATGTCGTTAGATGTTATAGGTGCTGCTGTGACAGATGTCGGTAGATGTTATAGATTCTGCTGTGACAGATGTCGTTAGTTATAGGTGCTGCTGTGACAGATGTCGGTAGTTATAGGTGTTGCTGTGGCATATGTCGGTAGTTATAGGTGCTGCTGTGGCAGATGTCGGTAGTTATAGGTGCTGCTGTGGCATATGTCGGTAGTTATAGGTGCTGCTGTGACAGATGTCGGTAGTTATAGGTGTTGCTGTGGCATATGTCGGTAGTTATAGGTGCTGCTGTGACAGATGTCGGTAGTTATAGGTGTTGCTGTGGCATATGTCGGTAGTTATAGGTGCTGCTGTGACAGATGTCGGTAGTTATAGGTGTTGCTGTGGCATATGTCGGTAGTTATAGGTGCTGCTGTGACAGATGTCGGTAGTTATAGGTGTTGCTGTGGCATATGTCGGTAGTTATAGGTGCTGCTGTGACAGATGTCGGTAGTTATAGGTGTTGCTGTGGCATATGTCGGTAGTTATAGGTGCTGCTGTGACAGATGTCGGTAGTTATAGGTGTTGCTGTGGCATATGTCGGTAGTTATAGGTGCTGCTGTGACAGATGTCGGTAGTTATAGGTGTTGCTGTGGCATATGTCGGTAGTTATAGGTGCTGCTGTGGCAGATGTCGGTAGTTATAGGTGCTGCTGTGGCATATGTCGGTAGTTATAGGTGCTGCTGTGACAGATGTCGGTAGTTATAGGTGTTGCTGTGGCATATGTCGGTAGTTATAGGTGCTGCTGTGACAGATGTCGGTAGTTATAGGTGTTGCTGTGGCATATGTCGGTAGTTATAGGTGCTGCTGTGACAGATGTCGGTAGTTATAGGTGTTGCTGTGGCATATGTCGGTAGTTATAGGTGCTGCTGTGGCAGATGTCGGTAGTTATAGGTGCTGCTGTGGCATATGTCGGTAGTTATAGGTGCTGCTGTGACAGATGTCGGTAGTTATAGGTGTTGCTGTGGCATATGTCGGTAGTTATAGGTGCTGCTGTGGCAGATGTCGGTAGTTATAGGTGCTGCTGTGGCATATGTCGGTAGTTATAGGTGCTGCTGTGGCAGATGTCGGTAGTTATAGGTACTGCTGTGACAGATGTCGGTAGATGTTATAGGTACTGCTGTGGCAGATGTCGGTAGTTATAGGTGCTGCTGTGGCAGATGTCAGTAGTTATAGGTGCTGCTGTGGCAGAAGTCGGTAGTTGTTATAGGTTCTGCTGTAGCAGAAGTCGGTAGTTGTTATAGGTTCTGCTGTAGCAGAAGTCGGTAGATGTTATAGGTGCTGCTGTGACAGAAGTCGGTAGATGTTTTAGGTGCTGCTGTGGAAGAAGTCGGTACTTGTTATAGGTTCTGCTGTGGCAGATGTCGGTAAATGTTATAGGTTCTGCTGTGGCAGATGTCGGTAAATGTTATAGGTACTGATGTGGCAGAAGTCGGTAGATGTTATAGGTTCTGCTGTAGCAGAAATCGGTAGATGTTATAGGTTCTGCTGTAGCAGAAGTCGGTAGATGTTATATGCTCTGCTGTAGTAGAAGTCGATAGATGTTATAAGTGCTGCTGTGGCAGATGCATGTAAGAGGAACTATAGCTTCTTAGTCATACATGTAAGAGGAACTATAGCTTCTAAGTCATACCTGTAAGAGGAACTATAGCCCTTAAGTCCTACATCTAAGAGGGGCTTTAGCTTATAAGTCCTACATGTAAGAGGGGCTTTAGCTTATAAGTCATACATGTAAGAGGAATTATAGTTTAGAAGTCATACATGTAAGAGGAATTATAGTTTATGAGTCATACATGTAAGAGGAACTATAGCCCTTGAGTCCTACATCTAAGAGGGGCTTTAGCTTATAAGTCATACATGTAAGAGGGGCTATAACTTTCAAGGTGCTGCTGTGGCAGATGTCGGTAGATGTTATAGGTGCTTCTGTGGCAGATGTCGCTAGATGTTATAGGTTCTGCTATAGCAGAAGTCGGTAGATGTTATAGGTACTGCTATAGCAGAAGTCGGTAGATGTTATAGGTACTGATGCGGCAGATGTCAGTAGTTATCGGTGCTGCTGTAGCAGATGTCGGTAGTTATAGGTGCTGCTGTGACAGATCTCGGTAGTTATAGGTACTGCTGTAGCAGAAGTCGGTAGATGTTATAGGTACTGCTGTAGCAGAAGTCAGTAGATGTTATAGGTTCTGATGCGGCAGATGTCGGTAGATGTTATAAGTGCTGCTGTGGCAGATGCATGTAAGAGGAACTATAGCTTCTTATTCATACATGTAAGAGGAACTATAGCTTCTAAGTCATACCTGTAAGAGGAACTATAGCTTTTAAGTCCTACATGTAAGAGGAACTATAGCTTTTAAGTCCTACATGTAAGAGGAATTATAGTTTATAAGTCATACATGTAAGAGGGGTTATAGCTTTTAAGTCCCACATGTAAGAGGGGCTTTAGCTTATAAGTCATACATGTAAGAGGGGCTTTAGCTTATAAGTCATACATGTAAGAGGAATTATAGTTTATAAGTCAAACATGTAAGAGGGGCTATAACTTTCAAGTCATACATGTAAGAGGAACTATAGCTTATAAGTCATACTTGTAAGAGGAACTATAACTTCTAAGTCATACCTGTAAGAGGAACTATAGCTTCTAAGTCATACCTGTAAGAGGAACTATAGCTTCTAAGTCATACCTGTAAGAGGAACTATAGCTTCTAAGTCATACCTGTAAGAGGAACTATAGCTTCTAAGTCATACCTGTAAGAGGAACTATAGCTTCTAAGTCATACCTGTAAGAGGAACTATAGCTTCTAAGTCATACCTGTAAGAGGAACTATAGCTTCTAAGTCATACCTGTAAGAGGAACTATAGCTTCTAAGTCATACCTGTAAGAGGAACTATAGCTTCTAAGTCATACCTGTAAGAGGAACTATAGCTTCTAAGTCATACCTGTAAGAGGAACTATAGCTTATAAGTCATACATGTAAGAGGAACTATAGCTTCTAAGTCATACTTGTAAGAGGAACTATAGCTTCTAAGTCATACCTGTAAAAGGAACTATGGCTTCTAAGTCATACCTGTAGGAGGAACTATAGCTTCTAAGTTATACCTGTAAGAGGAACTATAGCTTCTAAGTTATACCTGTAAGAGGAACTATAGCTTATAAGTCATACATGTAAGAGGAACTATAGCTTCTAAGTGGTGGCTGTAAGAGGAACTATAGCTTATAAGTCATACATGTAAGAGGGGCTATAACTTTCAAGTCATACATGTAAGAGGAACTATAGCTTATAAGTCATACCTGTAAGAAAAGCTATTTCTTCCCCTCGAATTACGTTGTCATCTTAAATTCAAATGCGACTGAGTTGTTAAAAACATGATTGTTCCAGTATTGGAAATATTATTTTGATGATATCTGTAATAGTATATATCAATTCCTTGTATTTGATGATTGTTTTTGGAATTTCCAATATCAAGACTCCTCTTAGGTATGTTAACTATACATAATTTGTTACTAGTACTATGTAAAGATTAACGAACACCATCAGGTTAAGAAATCCAACCTGTAAAAATACTACATAAACATTTGTGATTTTTTCAAAACTTTCATTGAAAGGGTGCCAAAAGAATCAGCCTTCCGTACAATCCGAGTAAGCCGCAGACTGTCAAAAGTATTATCAGGTACGTACCACGTAAACCATGTATGGAAAATCCAACGTAACCCAATCACACTAATATAACCCTAAACGTACCATTTAGGCCAAAAACTCATTAAGGTTGAATGAACAACTCCACGTAGCTCATGTACACAAGACTGACCGCTAGGCCTCTGCCTTTTTGGCGGACTTTATATATATATATATTAGTAAGTTGTATATTTATATACAATCCCATAGATTCTATATATGTGCAATTTTATGAAGCCTGTGTACATTGTATGTACAATCACACGGAACCCATTTTCAATAAAATTCATCAGTTTGGCCATACGTAAAATCAAAGTTTTACTTTACGCACAAACAATGTTCGTATTCAGTGTGTCACGATGTTTTAAGACTGACCGGTTCCTTCATAAGTAACTCTCCCGGGGCTATATACTGTACTAAATAGGTTACCGAGAGTAGTGCAGGGCCTAACAGATATGTCACTCGACCCGGGACTATACACTGTATCAAATAGGTTACCAAGAGTAGTGTAGGGCCTAACAGATATGTCACTCGACCAAGGACTATACACTGTATTAAATAGGTTACCGAGAGTAGTGTAGGGCCTAACAGATATGTCACTCGACCCGGGACTATACAATGTATCAAATAGGTAACCGAGAGAAGTGCAGGGCCTAACAGATATGTCACTCGATCAAGGACTATACACTGTATTAAATAGGTTACCGAGAGTAGTGCAGGGCCTAACATATATGTCACTCGACCAAGGGTTATACACTGTATTAAATAGGTAACCGAGAGAAGTGCAGGGCCTAACAGATATGTCACTCGACCCTGGACTATACACTGTATTAAAAAGGTTACCGAGAGTAGTATAGGGCCTAACAGATATGTCACTCGACCCGGGACTATACAATGTATCAACAAGGTAACCGAGAGTAGTGCAGGGCCTAACATATATGTCACTCGACCAAGGATTATTCACTGTATTAAATAGGTAACCGAGAGAAGTGCAGGGCCTAACACATATGTCACTCGACCCGGGACTATACAATGTATCAAATAGGTTACCGAGAGTAGTGCAGTGCGTAACAGATATGTCACTCGACCCGGGACTATACACTGTATTAAATAGGCAACCGAGAGAAGTGCAGGGCCTTACATATATGTCACTCGATCAAGGACTATACAATATATCAAATAGGTAACCGAGAGAAGTGCAGGGCCTTACATATATGTCACTCGACCAAGGACTATACACTGTATTAAATAGGTTACCGAGAGTATTGCAGGACCTAACAGGTATGTCACTCGACCCGGGACTATACACTGTATCAAATAGGTTACCGAGAGTAGTGCAGGGCCTAACAGATATGTCACTCGACCCGGGACTATACACTGTATCAAATAGGTAACCGAGAGAAGTGCGGGGCCTAACACATATGTCACTCGACCCGGGACTATAACTGTATCAAATAGGTAACCGAGAGAAGTGCTGGGCCTAACATATATGTCACTCGACCAGGGACTATAAAATGTATCAAATAGGTTACCGAGAGTAGTGCAGGGCCTAACAGGTATGTCATTCGACCGGGGACTATACAATGTATCAAATAGGTTACCTAGAGTAGTGCATGGACTTACATATTTTTCACTCGACCAAGGACTATACAATGTATTAAATAGGTTACATAGAGTAATGCAGGGCCTAACAGATATGTCACACGACCCGGGATTATACACTGTATCAAATAGGTAACAGAGAGAAGGACAGGGCCTAACAGATATGTCACTCGACCAGGGAAATAGGTAACCGAGAGAAGGACAGGGCCTAACAGATATGTCACTCGACCAGGGAAATAGGTACCCGAGAGAAGGACAGGGCCTAACAGATATGTCACTCGACCAAGGACTATACAGTGTATTACATATGTTACAGAGAGTAGTGCAGGGCCTAACAGGTATGTCATTCGACCGGGGACTATACAATGTACCAAACAGGTTACCTAGAGTAGTGCATGGACTTACATATTTTTCACTCGACCAAGGACTATACAATGTATTAAATAGGTTGTAACCGAGAGTAGTGCAGGGCCTAAAATATATGTCACTCGACCCGGGACTATACAATGTATCAAATAGGTAACCGAGAGAAATGCAGGGCCTAACAGATATGTCACTCGATCAAGGACTAGGTTACCTAGAGTAGTGCATGGACTTACATATATGTCACTCGACCAAGGACTATACAATATATCAACTGTACTAAATAGGTAACCGAGAGAAGTGCAGGGCCTTACATATATGTCACTCGATCAAGGACTATACAATATATCAAATAGGTAACCGAGAGAAGTGCGGGGCCTAACACATATGTCCCTCGACCCGGGACTATAACTGTATCAAATAGGCAACCGAGAGAAGAGCTGGGCCTAACATATATGTCACTCGACCAGGGACTATAAAATGTATCAAATAGGTTACCGAGAGTAGTGCAGGGCCTAACAGGTATGTCACTCGACCCGGGACTATACACTGTATCAAATAGGTAACCGAGAGAAGGACAGGGCCTAACAGATATGTCACTCGACCAAGGACTATACAATGTATTACATATGTTACAGAGAGTAGTGCAGGGCCTAACAGGTATGTCATTCGACCGGGGACTATACAATGTACCAAATAGGTTACCTAGAGTAGTGCATGGACTTACATATATGTCACTCGACCAAGGACTATACAATGTATTAAATAGGTTACAGAGAAAAGGGCAGGGCCTAGCAGATATGGCACTCGACCGGGATATGTCACTCGACCCCCCACTATACACTGTATCAAATAGGTTACCGAGAGTAGTGCAGGGCCTAACAGATATGTCACTCGACCGGGGACTATACAATGTATCAAATAGGTAACCGAGAGAAGTGCGGGGCCTAACATATATGTCACTCGACCCTGGACTATAACTGTATCAAATAGGTAACCGAGAGAAGTGCTGGGCCTAACATATATGTCACTCGACCGAGGACTATAAAATGTATCAAATAGGTTACCGAGAGTAGTGCAGGGCCTAACAGATATGTCACTCGATCTGGGACTATACAATTTATCAAATAGGTTAGCGAGAGTAGTGCAGGGCCTAACAGATATGTCACTCGACCAAGGACTATACAATATATCAACTGTACATAATAGGTAACCGAGAGAAGTGCAGGGCCTAACATATATGACACTCGACCCGGGACTATACAATGTAACAAATAGGGTACTGAGAGTAGTGCAGGGCCTAACAGATATGTCACTCGACCCGGGACTAAACATTGTATCAAATAGGTAACCGAGAGAAATGCAAGGCCAAACAGATATGTCACTCGATCAAGGACTATACAATGTATTGAATGGGTTACAGAGAGTAGTGCAGGACCTAAAAGATATGTCACTCGACCAAGGACTTTACAATGTATCAAATAGGTAACCGAGAGAAGTGCGGGGCCTAACATATAGGTCACTCGACCCGGGACTATACACTGTATTAAATAGGTAACCGAGAGAAGTGCAGGGCCTAACAGATATATCACTCGACCGGGGACTATACAATGTATCAAATAGATAACCGAGAGAAGTGCAGGGCCTTACATATATGTCACTCGACCAGGGACTATACCATGTATTAAATAGGTTACATAGAGTAATGCAGGGCCTAACAGATATGTCACTCGACCCGGGATTATACACTGTATCAAATAGGTAACCGAGAGAAGGAAAGGGCCTAACAGATATGTCACTCAACCAAGGACTATACAATGTATTACATAGGTTACAGAGAGTAGTGCAGGGCCTAACAGATATGTCACTCGACCCGGGACTATACAATGTACCAAATAGGTTAGCGAGAGTAGAGCAGGGCCTTACATATATGTCACTCGACCAAGGACTATACAATGTATTAAATAGGTTACAGAGAAAAGTGCAGGGCCTAACAGATATGTCACTCGACCAGGGACTATACAATGTATCAAATAGGTTAGCGAGAGTAGAGCAGGGCCTTACATATATGTCACTCGACCAAGGACTATACAATGTATTAAATAGGTTACAGAGAAAAGTGCAGGGCCTAACAGATATGTCACTCGACCAGGGACTATACAATGTATCAAATAGGTTACAGAGAAAAGTGCAGGGCCTAACAGATATGTCACTCGACCGGGGACTATACAATGAATCAAATATTTTACCGAGAGTAGTGCGGGGCCTAACATATAGGTCACTCGACCCAGGACTATACAATGTATCAAAAAGGTAACCGAGAGAAGTGCAGGGCCTAACATATATGACACTCGACCCGGGACTATACAATGTAACAAATAGGGTACTTAGAGTAGTGCAGGGCCTAACAGATATGTCACTCGACCCGGGACTATACAATGTACCAAATAGGTTAGCGAGAGTAGAGCAGGGCCTTACATATATGTCACTCGACCAAGGACTATACAATGTATTAAATAGGTTACAGGGAGTAATGCAGGGCCTAACAGATATGTCACTCGTCCCGGGATTATACACAGTATCAAATAGGTTAGCGAGAGTAGTGCAGGGCCTAACAGATATGTGACTCGACTAAGGACTATACAATGTATTAAATAGGTTACAGAGAAAAGTGCAGGGCCTAACAGATATGTCACTCGACCAGGGACTATACAATGTATTAAATAGGTTACAGAGAAAAGCGCAGGGCCTAACAGATATGTCACTCGACCGGGGACTATACAATGCATCAAATATTTTACCGAGAGTAGTGCAGGGCCTTACATATATGTCACTCGACCCGGGACTATACACTGTATCAAAAAGGTAACCGAGAGAAGTGATGGGCCTAACATATATGTCACTCGACCGGGGACTATAAAATGTATCAAATAGGTTACCGAGAGTAGTGCAGGGCCTAACAGATTTGTCACTCGATCCGGGACTATACACTTTATCAAATAGGTTACAGAGAGTAGTGCAGGACCTAAC